AGTTTGAGAGTCCGCGCAGCATGATTTCGTGCGAGATATCCGGCTTCAGCCCTCCGACGTAACGGTCCACCCGCTCCGCTTCGTGCATGTAGCCGACCTGCTCGCAAAGTGCGAGAAAACCGCTCGTGTAATCTTGAACCGACCCGAGCTGCCGCCAAGTGCGCAATCTCTGACGCGCCGAAATAGAAGCCGCGATCGGCTCGAAGCGCGCCCGAAGCCCTGCGCACCACGCATCCCACGTGCTGTATTGGGCGGTCTCGCAGAATGAACTCCAGGTGACAGCTGGACCCGTGGGCCCTTCCTCTTGCGACGGTGGCTCGTAGGCGCGTGGCGACGTCACGATGACTCGCCACCAGTCCATGGCGGGGCCCCTTAACAGCGAAACGGCATACCGAATCTTCGCTGCGTCCGACTCGACGTAATTCGCGTCGAAGAAGACGTTCATCGTGAAAACCCACGACTGAACCGTCGGACCTCCACGCTGGCTCGGGTCGAAACAGGGCGGGCGTTGCGGCTTAAGTGGCATTGGTGCCATGATGGCCTGTTCGCCACTTGTCGCCGCGAACTCCACGTGCCGACGGGCTTCGCGAGGCTCTCGCGGGCTTGGCGCGCCCCTGTTTCCTCCCATGCCAGGCATTGGTTGGGCGGCGCTATCACTGGCTGCGCCCGAGCGCTGTCCCACGCTGTCGTGTTGTGTTGGTGTCCCGGACGAGATGACAATTGGCTCGTCCGATTGTGCAGGTGCATTTGTGGGTGCGTGTGGTGCTGCTGGAGTGTTCACCGTTGATTGCTGACGCGCGGAGTCACGTTCCGCTGTGAGCATCGCAATTTCGAGCGCCGAATCTTCGAGTGGGCGCACCAGACGGTCGAGCTGCTCCTGCGTTAATGTGGCGAGCGTGAATTCGGCCATGGCGGGGGTGTCGGGCGAGCTCAGCGAGAGCCTCAGTCGTGGCCGTGCGTGCTTACGAGAGAGCACTACGAGCGGCGGTGCTGTGTCGCTGAGGCACGTCTACCCCCCCCAAAATTTGAGATAGTGGGGAAGCGAAGATGTGGGTGCGGTCCGAGAAGAGGTCGTAGGCTCTGAATACCAAGTGTTACGAGTGCAATTGAGTGAACGAACGAGAATTGCACTATCGAAGCAAGAGTACAATGAGCGAAAGCATGAGCGAAGAATGTATAGCGAAACTACAGTGGTAACGGTAATGGACTGTGGTTGACGCGCGACGGGCCTGGGACTGAGGTTGGGAAAGTGTCGAAGTGGAGGCCCGGAGCGCGGGTTACCCGCCAAGCCGTGAGGTCGGGGTGCGACGTGCGAAGATGGCGGGCGGATTGTCGATGCGAGGATTGCGAGTGGTAACGGTGCTGACTGTGGTGCTACAGTGATGTACGCGTTGAGCAGGGACGCGAAGTAAGGAAAAGGGATTTTCCTTACAGTTGGCGTTCTTGGTCTGTCCCTAAACAGCCGCCCAGAACGACTGGTGGAGAAACGGGGAAAGCAGGGGTTGGGCTGGGTTGGGTTGGGGCTGGGTTAAAACCCGCGTCTCATACATTTTCAAGCGTACAGTATTACTTCAGGTTTGCTCCGAAGAGAAGTGATTTGCTGGCGAGGCGCGAAATGTACTTAGACGAGGAAGAAACAATCATGCGAAACCTGCTACATCTGACTGTCGCTTGTTCTGCAATTTCCCTTCGCGGATAACCTGCGAAGGGTGCCTTGTGAGAACTATGACATTACGAGTGTATAGACTGAGGATATTTTTGCGAACCTACACGGTAGCGAGACGAGACATTGCACAAAGGTTCCACTATCTCTTTATTTATGTGTGGAGGTGATTCGGGTGGGAAGTGTCAGAGGTCCACTGGTGATCCCCGATTGATCCTAGGGAAGGGTTACAGGCATGGCGGCCTGGGGGGTTATGGGCGCACTCACCCGCTACGTAAACAAGCCCTTTTATCCCAGTGGTTAGTGGCTGGGATTCTGACATGGTATCAGAGGAAAGGTCTCGGGTTCGAATCCCGGTGTGTGCACTTCGGGCATCCCAGTGCGGGGGGGTGTCAGAGGTCCACTGGTGATCCCCGATTGATCCTAGGGAAGGGTTACAAGCATGGCGGCCTGGGGGGTTATGGGCGCACTCACCCGCTACGTAAACAAGCCCTTTTATCCCAGTGGTTAGTGGCTGGGATTCTGACAGGAAGGACTTCCTAAGACTCGGGATCAACCCACGCTTTCTTCTTGACGGGCATTATGCTCGTTCTCTCAACATGAAAAACCAGCTGACTGCTAGAGCCAAACTCCAGAGATTGTTAAATCCTTACACCTGATGCCAGCTCAGGCGCATATCTTTGTGAGAAGTGTGTGGGGTGACCAAAAAACTTGGCATCTATTTTACCACAACAGACCGTTACACAGCCAAGACTGTACAAGAAAGCAGAATCCCAATTGCGTTCCAGGTTACATGTAAACATGTAACGACGTGTTGCGACCCAAAGAGATTGGGTTGGGTCGGCTCGACCTGGTCGGCTAAACCCAACCCGACCAGATCTTCGGAAACGCGACTCGGGAAATTATGGAATTTCCCGTCGATTTCCGTGCATCCTCGAGGGACCAGGAAAGCAGTTGCCGGGCGGGGGTGGGTGAGCTGGAAAATTCGCATCGATATTACAGGGTATCATTCTGTGCGGCGAATTTGAGGCGACATTTGCGCGAGAACTCTGAAGTTCGCAGACTATGGTAACCTCTCCAGCTCGATTGGGTTGGGTCTTGTTGGCTATTGGTACACCCTGTTTTCGCTATTGTGAATGCCGGTATACTGAACCATGTGGCTCAACGCGCCAAATTACCCGCTATAGTCAACTTTTGCACCAGTTCGGTTTGACGAGGTCAGCTACCTTTGAAGACGGTCGGTTGACCTTTAATAGGGCTCGGTAGGGTACCCAGGTTAACGAAATTTCGGATCACCCGCCTCCTAGAGACGGTTATTGTAAACTTTACGAATACGTCCAAGGAACAGTTCCACTGTTCAGTGTGTTTCCGCAGTTCAGTGTAGCGAGAAACAAGGTGTACAGTCTATGGCCATTTGTCGCATGTGCAATGCTGACATCCAGTCCTCCCGAGTTACAGTTTGAGCATCACGTGTCATAGAGCCACACTGACGACTGGGGAATTTTCGTACAATTGGGTCCAATACTGTACGATGGTGCGCGCATGCGTACAGTACATATAGGCCCAACACGATGCAGCACAACTACAAATGGCGTTGTACAAGCCGAACAAACAACAAATTTGGGATGTCTCTGGTGTTCAGCGTTGGAATTCGGAGTGTTGATTCCTCACCTGTGAAGCGTCACAGAAGTCAACTTATGCAAATCGCATATCTTACCTCCAAACTTCTGTTGCTTATGTGCACTACAAAAGTGAACGTAATTTCGCCAGCCGTGCCACATGTATAATGTTGAAATATAGCGTGCGTAACTTTGGTGCCCCCATTCTACGGGTGGCATCGCTTGTGATTTCTGTGTTTTTTTTTTTTAGGTCCAACTTCATTTTCGAGTTCCTTTCCCGGGCGCCTGAATGGGAACGTTAATTCAGGTTAATTAAAACGAACAAAATAATTACACATGATGCCCAACCCCTGCACGCGAATTTTCCCTGCAACGGATGGAAACCTTGCACCCGGGGTTTTTTTCCCAGCCAGTTGCACGCACGTTACAAGCACGTCGCGCAAATTGCAGTGGTTCTGAACCAATAATAGCAAACGGACCGAATTCAAACTGAAGAGACTGAAGTAAACATGTCAACAGATAAGTTATAAGCACCTGACTAATCCTTTTTTGCTAGCTGCGAATTGACGAAAATTATGCGAAATGTATGTGACAGCTTATGCGCTCCATTCACAAGACAACCGGGAGTGTCTCAAACGGGCATCATGTGTAGGAATTTTGGTGTGGCGAGGTAAGGCGTGTTCAGCTGGTCCGCAATTTCTCAGGGCGCATCCATCTGGCCACGAGAAAAATGTCGAGCTCAACTATTTCTGATGACTTCATCCTGTACAAACCCAGCATTGTAACACTTTCGCGCCGAGAAGGCTTGGAATAATAGCCCGGGTGAGCGACAATTCATACTTGGGAAGCTGTTGCTACCAAGTCCTTCACATTCTTTGACTAAATAGATTTGTATCTTTTGGGTGGTTGGTCCTCTTGTTGTCATCGAACTGGACATTCGTGCCTCGCATCGCCCACCTTGTATCCCACCCCACTCCTTGTCCTGACTGACAATGGGCGAGAGGGCCGCCCATCCTTGACGGGATGACAACTTTGCCCAAGTTCCTTCCGTTTCAAGCAGCCACGCATTTCTATGGTGATGGTGCCCCTGCAGCCACCCATGCTTCAGTACGTTTTCCTACGGTACACGTACCTACATACTCTTTACACTCTCCTCCAGTACAGTAGTTCGGTGAGACAGGAGCCTTCTCTACACCAGTTTTTATTCGCAAAACTGCCGTTGCATAACACACAACCTCGATGTTATCATCCCCGATGCGTTTGACAGCGCCGCAGGGTCTTTCTGGTTGGCATGGCAAGCTATCTAAACTTACTTCAGTCATTTTCGGTGAGCTTATCGTCGCTTAGCTCACTTCAGGGCAAAATTAGGTCATTCTCACAAACCCACGAGTATGGAGGGTGAGGAAACTCTGTGCATTTTCCGTCGTATCCCGGACGATATTCTTTTGGAGATTCTTAGCAGCATACAGGACATCCGCTGCCTCGCGCACTGCGCGTCAGTCTGCAAGTTATGGCACAAAAAAGCGCGCGAAGTCGAAACCGCGACGCTGATTTGCCCCGGGAATTTTAAGACGTACTGGGATAAGGTCATGGATATTGTCGATAAGCTACAGGGATTTCCCCGTTTAAAGAAGGTTCGCGTGTGCATCGGGACGAATGGGATGGGCGGGAGCGGCTCGGCGGGAAGACGTGACAATAGCGAGGCTTGGACCAAATGCATGCGCTACGCCGAAATTGGCGCCTCGGTGGATAAGTTCCTGTTTCTCGCCGCGAAATCCGGGAGCGCGGATGTTTTCTACAGTAGCATCGGCGGGGGTGGCGGGGAGATGGTGGAAGGCTCGCTGCGCGGGGGAATGCCGGGAGGGCCGCGGGAGGGGGGAAGCGGACAGCACCGTGCGGGGACTTCAAGACAAGGGGAATCGTCATTTATGAATGGGTTTGATGCGGTGGAAGGCGGCGGCGGGGAGGATATGCGCGGTGTGCACGGAACTGCCCGTTTGGAGCGCGGACGAGAGGAGGAAGGGGGGGAGGGAGCGGGGGAGGGGGAGGGCGAGGAAATTGAGAGGGAAAGAGGGCAGCAGCAGCAGCAGCAGCAGCATGAGGAGGAGGAGGAGGAGGGAGGAAGAAGGCTATTTGGATTTTCTTTTCCCCACACTTACATGGCACGTGATGCAGCATCAGCAGCAGCAGCATCAGCAGCGTCAGTGGACCTAACTCTAAAGCAAGTCATGGGGCCGAGCGACGACTCGCTAAAGCGCATGATGCCCGTTATTATCTTCGCCATTATAAGGGGCTTTGACGAGTTTCGCGACGTCATTCCCTGTCTATTGTTGAAGTTGCCCCTGCTGCAGCAGCTGCTGCTGGTTGACGTCACTGACAACGTCACCATCCACATGCGCCCGCACCACATGGCGCAGCTTCGGCGGGCCAACCGACGGACGTTCGGCGGGAGCCTAGGCTTGGAGAGCCTGGGCTCGGAAGGTTTAGGTCCGGAGAGTCTAGGTGTGGAAAGTATCGTTTTGGGGGAAGGGAGCAGTGGGAATGGCCGGGGGTTAGATGACTGTGGGCGAGCTGAAGACGCTTTGCCTACAGACATGGTTTCAGAGATGGGTGGTGGCATGGGTGGTGGCATGGGTGGTGGCATGGGTGGCGGCATGGGTGGCAGCATGGGTGGTGGCATGGGCATAGATGGTGCGGGAAGCAGTGGGCTAGGCATGGGGGTAGGGGCAGGAAGTGGCACGAGTGTGGGTATGGGGGTAGGGTTGCGAGCAGGCAGCACGCGTGTGGGCATGGGGGCATCGGATGCGTTTGGGGATGAGGAGTTTCGGCCAGAGCTGCTGGGAGCTGGTATGGACGCTGGTATGGATGCTGGTATGGATGCTGGCACGGGTATAGATGGTGCGGGCAGCAGTCATGTGGGCATGGGGGCAGCATCAGAGGCGTTTGGAGATGAGGAGTTTCGCCCAGAGCTGCTGGGAGCTGGTGCTGCTGCCTACACCGCTTCACTCGCTGGCCCCCCGGCTGCTGCCGCTGCTGCATACACCCACTCCTTAACCCCCTCGCTGCACCCTCAACCTCAGACACTCCACTCCCCCCTGCACGCTCATCACCAGCACCTGCCCCTGCCGCTGCCCCTCCTGCTGCCATTGCTCCTGCTGATCCTGCCCCTGCTCCTCCTGCTGCCCCTGCTCCTGCACGCACAGGCACAGCAGATCATACCCCCGTGCTAGAAACCGCTGTTCCTGCTGAACTTTCCAGGCGGGACCTTTCTTGCCATCCTGACTCGCCCAACTTCCACGTGTCGTTCTGGCGCACGGACAGAGTCCGGGTGGCTTATCCACTGCCACGTCAGCACCAGGAGCTGACTGACGTGTCAGTATGTGTGGCCACGCAGGACTCTGTTGCGCTGGATGACGCTGACGTGGCGGAGCTTGCCAGGTCAGCTGTCGGTGGGCCTGTGCTGGCTGCCACTGTGGCGTTTCTCAACAGCCAATCATCCATGCATGCACTGTAGCATCATGGTAGCTTGTTCTGTGGCATACACTATAGCAGCACATGTCGATTGCACTGTAGCGTAACTGATAACCACCCTCCCCCCCTCACCCCCCCCCCCCCTCGACCCCCCACCACCACCTCCCCCTCCCCCTCCCCTCCCCACCCCCTTCCCCCCCTTCTCCGCAAATCGTGCTGTGTGCTGAGGGCATGTGTTGTGATTGTGTGCATGGCACAGTCACCACTGTCCATCCAATCAGCCATGCATGCATGCCATGTGGGTGGGTGTGTCATTGTGCACTGCAGGATAGGTTGGGAAGGGGTGGGTAAGGGGATGAGGGGAGGGGAGGTTCTGTGTTGCAATGCTGTGTATTGTACGGGCACCGCTGACTCAATTCCTTGCACGAATCAACTGTCGGTTGCTACCCTGGTGCTTGATGTGCAGTCATGCTGTATTCTTGTACAAATGTCAACTTACCAGCAGTTGTTAGACAAATTGAGAAAGTTTGCTTTCTGGTTATTGCAAGGCAACGTGCTTCATTTTAATTGGGTAATTACAACATTCTTGTCCAACTTAAACATTCCACACAGATAAACTAGGGGAGGGTGGGGGGGAAGCGGAACTGAAAAGTTCCGAAATGAAGACGTGGGTGGAGGCCAAATGGCCTCCAACCCTCGTTATGTACTCCGGAACATGCATTCGCACTTGCCTTGCTTCACTACAGTCAGCTTCGCTTTCACAATCTTTATTTTTAGAAAGTGTTTCACACTTTCAAAAAATTTCATATTCTGTAAGTGTTGCGGAAGTACGGTAGTTGCTTGTGCAGAGGCACTGACCCAACTGGACCAACACAAAGCTGGAGCACAAGGATTGGATAGGAGAGGGTGGGTTACAGAGGGTTAGAATGGGACAGGACAGGAGGCTTCACAAAGGTTACCAGTACCTTGATCTCAGCCATGCATATGCAGTGCTAGTGCTACACTCTCGCACCCTTGAAATCGAGCACATGTCCACCTGTCCATTCCCACTGTTTCTTCTACCGTCATCGCCCGGATATAAGACATATATGTCTTATCTCGTACACGGGCAAAAATGCTTGAGTTATCTTGTAAACGGGATGGTTTATGGTGTCTTATAATTCTTATAAATGGAAAAAATTTTAAGTTGACTGTAACATCTAATGATGCTGCCAGCGTCGTTTTGCTGCCAGCAGCGCATGGCAGCTTCCAGAACGCTGCTGGCAGCACGTTGGCAGCGTCAGGCTGTCCTCTACGAGGAGATGCCTCGTAGAGGAGCGGCTCGGCACCTGTGGATGGGGCACTCTGGCTGGGGGGGGTAGTCGGGCTTTCACTTCATTTGGTGCTCATGGAGGTTGAATTCTCACCTCAACCTTGCTCTCGGCAGGCTCTCTAACCATGCGCAGCAAGGTACCCCTAGGCAAGTCCTCACCTCGTCCTCACGTGCAGGTGAATAACTACGGGCGAATTAACTCGCCCGGCGATGACATCCGCGTAGCCATGGCAAAGAACGCGAGCAAGGCGGGAAGTCCTACCGCCGCCTCCGGTGCGAGCTGTGACGGGGAAGACGGAGACGAAGCACACGGCGACGACGCCGAGGAGGATTGGCCGGAGAACGGCCACGATGACAGCGCTTCGGGCGACGAATTTGGTACTGCCGACATCGAGGAGGACGAATGGTGGAATCAGCCGGTCGGGAGCGACGACGAGGTGGAAGAGTGGCGGGCTGGTGATTCCGACAACGACGGAGGTGAAGATGCTGGCGGTGACAACGCGGAGGCACAGGAAGCGGCGGTGGATGCGAATGAGGCTGCCGACGAGGCGGCGGCGGAACTCGAGACAGAGGCGCCTGCGGATGCGGACGCGGTGGCGGAGGCGGACAAGGTGGCTGCGGATGCCGTCTTATTTGAGGGTGAGGGCGACGACGACGACCCGTGGAGCCTTGGGACAGACGACGACGTTCCGCTACTGAAGCGGAGGCTGCGCCATCGCCTACAGTCCACGACGAAGCGCGCCCGCGTGGTGCTCTGTGACGACGACAGTCCCGGGGAGGAGCGTCGCCCCCTACTCACCGCTGCGGAGAAGGGAAAGGCAAAGGTCGTGGAAGCCCCTGCTAAGTCCCCTGCTAAGGCCCCTGCAAAGGCCCCTGCTCGTGGCCGCACAAGCAACAAGAAGCGCAAGGACGACGGAGACCCTGGATCCAGCAAGGGTGCGGCAAAGAAAAAGGCGAAGAAGGCGCCGAATCCTGACGACATCATCGTCAACGAGGCGTTGGGCAGCGACGATGAGTACGCGGCGGCGGCGGGCCCGATTCCCACGTTCCCTGAGAAGGAGGCGCCGAAGGACCCCACCCTCCATAATCCCAACACCCGCCCACCTTCCCCTCGCAGCAAAGACACTACGAAGAAGCGCCGCGGCTGGACCGTGCGTGAGAAGGTTAAGTGGGCGCGCCGCTATCAGGAGCTCGGCTCCTTGAAGAAGACTAGCTTGGAGTCAACCGCGAGCGTCGCCTGCATCAGACGCTGGTGCGCGGAGGCGGCTGCGGGCATCTACAAGGGCGCGGCTAACTGCCGCAAGCGGATGCACGGGGGGGACCGCCACGCACACTACCCCGACATGGAGGCAGCGTTGTACCGCTACATCTGCCTTCAGCGCGCTAACGGGGTGGCCATCTCGGTGAAGGACACCCAAAAGTGGAGCCGCGAGTGGATGAAGAAGCATTACCCCGGCAAGAACTGGAACGCGAGCTCTCACTGGAGCCAGCGTTTCCGTGACCGCTGGAACCTGGTGATGCGGGTGAAGACGAAGGTCGGACAACGTCTGTCGGCAGGTGCGTGGATAAGGAGTTCGTGCCGCGCACGGCCCATTGTATACATGTCTTACCTTGCTCGTTGTCTAACCGTCCCTCGCTTCTGTTCCTGTCCCGTTTGCAGAGTGCGCGAAGGACTGCGAGTCCTTCTGGAAGTTCGTGCGCATCAACAGGGCGCGGCACAACATCGACCTGGCCCGTATCATCAACGCGGACCAGACGCCACTGTTCGTGGAGATGCCGGCCGAGAGGACGATCGAGCACCGTGGCGCGCGCTCGGTCCCAATCCGCACTGCAGGCTACCAGAAGACGCGCTTGACGGTGATGCTCGCGTGCACTGCATCCGGGGAGAAGCTGCGGCCGTGGGTGTGGTTCAAGATGAAGAACGTCCCCAACTGTGAGATTCCGGACGGTAAGCGCCATGACATCAACCTTGCCCCTGCCTCATGAGCGTGCCCCACTGTGCTGATGTCCGTCTGTCCCTTGTGTGCCTGGCAGGAATCGTGGTCCAAGCACAGGACAACGGGTGGATGGACGAGAGCGCTGTGCAGACCTGGCTGTCCAAGGAGGTGCTTCCCCATCTGAACCCCCAGCGCGGCAAGAGCGCGAGGCATGCGATGCTGGTGTTGGACTCCTACCGCGGCCACATCACCCAGACCATGCTTCAGTCGTACCGCACGCACAGCATCACCCCTGCAGTCATTCCAGCGGGTTGTACGAGCCAGATTCAACCCCTGGACGTCTCCATCAACCGGTGCTTCAAGGCTGCCGTGCGAGCGCGCTACGCCAGGTGGTTCATGCGTGAAGGGATTCACCTGAAGACGAAGAAGGGTGAGTTGGCTGTTCATTTTAAATTCCTGCTCTGTTTCGTGTCCTTATCGTTAACATCTCGCTGCCGTGTCCTCTGTCCCACCCGCAGGGAACCTGCGGAGGCCTCCGCACCCCGTGGTGCTGCAGTGGATCGCGGAGGCTTGGGATCAAGTCCCCAGGCAGATCATCATCGACGCGTTCCGCCACTGTGGGATCTCCAGCAAGCTGGACGGAACGGAGAACCACCTGGTGATGTCTCACCTGCGCGCCAGGAGCACCACCGATGTCTCCGAGGACATGTCCCTCGGGGGGACCACAGGCGACAACACGCGCCTGCTTCGGAAGGCTCCAGAGGAGGAGGAGGAGGAGGAGGAGGAGGAGGAGGAGGAGGAGGAGGAGGAGGAGGAGGAGGAGGAGGAGGAGGAGGAGGAGGCGATGCAGGCGGAGGGCGTGCGGGAGGTGGCCGTGGCAACTGGCCTGGAGGTGCTGTACCAGGAGACCCCCAACTACCGCGGAGCGGCGGCCGAGGCTGACCGCATGATCGAGCCAAGGGAGACGGCTAGGCATGCCTGGCGAGTGCCAGACCTGGGCGTAGAGCCTGTTGCTAGTGCTGCAGAGGAGGCGGTTACTGAGGGGGGTTAGGTAGAAGTAGGGATTCATGAATTTATGGATGTACCCCCCTAAAGTAGTGTAGGCTCGTTTAGAAGACACCCCCTGTTTATAAGAAAACCCCTAAACCCCGGTTCTGATTATAAGACATATATGTCTTATCTCGTACACACAAATAGGTGTCGTATAAAAAGGCTTGCCTGTTTATAAGAGACACCCGTATAGTAGACAACCCCTGTCTACTATTCAACACTGTCTTATATCCGGGCGATGACGGTAACACAGCAACAACACATAGGTAGTTGTAGAGGCAGCGAATCAAATCGACAGTGCTTGCTGCCTGACAGCAGCAGAGGTACACTTAACACTACATGCGCTGCTGTCAGGACTTGCTGCCACGAGCTCGCTTCCTCTGGCTCTTTGCCGACCGACGACCAGAGTTTTGGGTTTGCCGACCAGAATCTGGGGATTGCTGACCGGACTCTTCAAATTGCCGCCCAAAATCTTGCGGTTGCCGGCCAGAGGTGTTCGTGGTTGAAGCCCCCTTGTTGAATCTCGTGGTCTGCTCCATCTTGGTTGTTGTTTCTTCCATCATGGCACAGAACTCAGAGTAATCAATCTTGCCGTTCTGGACAGATCGACGTAAGGGGAGAGAGAGAGAGAGAGAGAGAGAGAGAGAGAGAGAGAGAGAGAGAGAGAGAGAGAGAGAGTGCAAGAGTGTGTGTGCAAACAGAGGGGAAGGAAAAGAGAGTGCACGACTGCACAGATTCATGCGACGCGAAAAGCAAGAAAACGGGGAAGGAAATGGGTGTGATTTGACCGCTCCTGTCTCACTTTACCACTCACTGCCTCCTGTCTCAACTTATCACTCACAGCCTCCTGCATTACCTGATCAGCGTCCACGTCAGCAAATATTCTCTTTATCTCCGCCTCGCCAACCCCAGCACTCCCGGCTTCCTTCTCCAGTGCACCGCGCAACTCATCCCCTGTGATGAATCTGCCAATAACAAGGACGTCGGATTGGCTATGTGTACATGAGAAATGCAGAATAGAGATGGCAACAAATTAAAAACGTTTACTTCCACTTTCCCAGTCCACTTGATAACCACATTCTTAGCCTACCAACTTGAATAAGGTTAACCTGAATAGGGGGTACTTTAGCAACTTACCCATTGCCATCGGTGTCAAAGTGGGCAAACGCCTGCTGCAGGTGAGCCTCTCTGGTCTCCCTGCTGACTCGCATCGTTGCTGCCACAAACTCGTTATAGTCAATGCTGCCACTGCTGTCCACGTCAGCCTGTTACAAGCACATGAGGAGGTGGTTACAATTGATCCGTTACAAGCACACACAGGTCCAGCATGATGGGGTTGCGTGCACAATAATTCCAGCGGTAAAGAAGAATTCAAATTGAAATAAATTGAAACAATGGGGAGAAAGACAGCTAAGCCTACCGCTGCCATCATTTGCCGAAGTTGCTCCTTAGGCACGGTATCACCGAGCCTCTCAACCCCATTCCGAAGCTCAGCCAAGGAAATCGTCCCACTGCCATCCCCATCCATGGCTTTAAACATCTCTCTCAACCCCATGGCCTCAGCGTCAGACACGTGCGAGGCGATGAGTTTCAGAGTGAGGCGCTTGAGTCGGTTCATGGCTGCAAAGCGCTTCAGCCGAGTGATCACTGCCGGCGCTAGCGGTGTGTCTGCCGCCGTGCCTCCCTCCCTCACCCACGGATGCTCTGGTTGAAGGCAGGGCAGGGGGAGAGGAGAGCAATACGAGGGCAGAAAGATGGGATTTTTGAAACACTGCCACTCCTCTCTCCCTCACCCGTGGATGCTCTGATGCAAAAAAGGGGAAGGGGGAGGAGAATTATGGGTGACCTAAACATGGTGAGTTGTAAGGAACGAGAGGGGGTGGAAGGGGAAATGGGCGGGGAGGAGGGGGAGGAACGGCGTGGGTTGCTTCACTTTTTGTGGTTCAGGCTTTTGAGGGCGGAAATTTGCCTTTCCAAGACAGCTTCTGCTGCTGCCGGTCGTCCCGCAGGCTCTTTTTGCAAGCAGTGCATGACGTCGGCAGCAGCACCATACCTGCACCGCACACTCACTCACATCCTGTCACTCCTGTTGCTTCCCCGAAGTCCTTACCACACGCCCACTCCCATACCCATCCATTGCATTGCCCGATGCCCATACCACACGCCACACACACATGCCATGCCACACCCCCACACACGATTCACCAAACACTCACACACCACACTCACACTCACGCCACACACACCACACCACACGCGCACCCATGAGCTGTGCTGCTGTCGGTCGTCTCTCTGGTTGCTGCTGCAGCAGACTCAGCACCAGCTGCTTCGCCTCTGTTGAAACCTGCGGCCATGGCTCCTCTGATTGGTCCACGTGGCCCCACAGAATCTCCTCAAATATCCCTTCGTTTGTCTCTGCAGAGAGGGAACGGAGAGGGGACAGGATTGGGCGGGAGAAGGAAGCAGCGAGAGGGGAGGCGGGAAGGAGGGGGGAGGAGGGAGAGGGTGAGGGGAGGGAAGAGGGAAAAAGGAAGTAGGATGAATGCAGCGAGGGTTAAACAGACCATTCTTGAAGGATACAGGAAAGAGTTTGGGAAAAACGTGGAGAGGGAGGAACAAACAAATGAGGGAGGGGTGGGTGGGCAGGGGGGGAACAGAGGGGAAAGGAGCAGGGAGGAGGAGGAAGGTGAGTGCATGAAGAACAGGATAAAGGGTGCATAAAGGGCGGCGAATGGCAAGATACGCTGTCATTATCCCTCTTCACCCTCCGCCCCTCTCCTACCCTGCCCCCTCCCCTCCTTTTTTACCACCTCTCGTCCCCCCCCCCCCCCCCCCCCCCCTTTGTTACCACCTCTCTTCCCCTTCACTCACGTCAGCCCCAAACCAAAGGGCCACCAGTGGCTTTTTAAGCCTCAGAAACATCATCCCTGTTCCCTTCCAAGAAAGTTCAGTCTTGAAGCTCCTCGGGTCATGGTGGTTTCATTCAAATACCACCTGGAACTCCTTATAACGGGTACAAGAGATTACCTGCCCAGAAGGGCGGAGATCCCGAGAGCAGGATGTAGAGCACGACCCCCACGCTCCACAGGTCCGCCTCCGGATGGTGTCACTTCAAGACCCCATACAAAGCCTTATAACGGGTACAAGGCTTTACCTGCCCAGAAGGGCGGAGATCCCGAGAGCAGGATGTAGAGAACGACCCCCACGCTCCACAGGTCGGCCTCCGGGCCGTAGCTGCCTCGGATGACCTCTGGCGCCATGTAGAACGCGCTGCCCGCTACTGTGTGCAGCAGATGGCCTTGTAACGGGGATAGATGACGGAGTGGTGTGGGTGGGATGGGTGCGGTTGGGTGGGGTGGGGTAGTGTGTGGAAGATGGGCGGATTGGGCGAGGGAGGAGGGGAAGGGTGATGGGGGGGGAGAGGGACGGAGGGGGAGAAGAATGGAAGGTAGCGGGGGAGAAACTGTGATGTGCTGTGATGAGCGGCAACGCTTGCTTACCTGGCCTATAGAACGCGGACAGTCCAAAGTCGACGGCTTTAAGCGGCGCGCCCTCCTCTTCGCTCGATACAAGAAAGTTCTCGGGCTTTAAGTCCCTGTGAATCACGTAGTTGGCGTGGCAATACCTCACCACCGATACAATCACACGGACCACTTCCGCTGCTGCGCGCTCGCTATAGTGTCCTCTCGCTATAATATGATCGAATAACTCGCCGCCTGTACAGAGCTCCATGACTATATACACCGCAGAATCGTCCTCATAAGCACCTTTCAGATTAATCACATTCGGGTGATCCGATAAGAGGTGTAGAATGGCGATTTCTCTCTTGATGTCTTCCACGTCGTTGCTCGTTATAAGCTGTTTCTTCGATATAAGTTTACACGCGTATTGTAGACCGGTGCGTTTCTCCGTGCATATGTAAGTCACTCCGAACTGACCTCTTCCTAATTCCCGTCCGAAATTGAACAAATCGCGAACGTTTTCCGTCTCTCGGCCAAGTATGGAATCCGTCAACTTGCTGCCGGTGTCCCTAACGGTCGCTGGATCCTTCTAGCATGGACCGGCGAAACAAGAGATGTCCTACCATCGCGTCGGGTTGCCCGTTTCGCTAGCGACGGAAATCGTTTCAAGAGGCTCCCATGGACAGACCCAGTGCGTCCTGCACCAGCAACAGCTAAGAGAACGCAACCGTCGCGACGGCATTGTAACGAATGCGATAATGGCGAGAGATACTGTCTTGCCCCCGCTAGGGGAACCTCCACATGCAGAGCGAGGCGAAGAGACTCCAGCATAGATAGGAGAGGAACTACCGAGCGGCTTGCACCGATTGACGGCACTGACTCAGTTCGCCTAAAATGCAGTTGCTGTTGACGGAGATAGGGACGGAGCTTCACGATAACGCAAACAGAACTTCAATTCACGATAGGGACAGAGCTTCCCTTTGACCATCGCGTGGTGGGGCGGGTGTGTGCATGTCAGTGCTCGTAGTGCATTCTCCGATTCACATTTTACGCCGGTTATTTGCAGCATGAATATACGATTCACCTTATAGACCAGGCGTGGTATGCAATTGTGTGGCTATTACCAATCCCTGCAACATTATTGTTATATCACAATCATACACTCGCACACAAAATACAAAGCCACTGAAAGGCACTGAATATTCTACTTTTCACACTAACCAGCTATGTGCTAACTGCTAAGCTGAACCTTCTACTTAGCCAAACTTCTTCTGCATAACATAAAACACACAAGCACTTAAAACACCTGCCAAAACTCACTGCACACACCATAGATACTTGAGCACGAGGCACACCAGAGGGCAACAAACACACACAAAAAAAAAAAAAAAAAACTTTCTGCAAAGTTGAATTGTCGCAGATGATGCCACCTTGCTTCATCATCTCATCGCACCTGTCAACACTCACACACGCAGAGCGCAAGGGAGCTCCAGCGTCACTTGGAAGTACGGTGACACTTTCTGGGCTGCCGCGAGTGCTGCACTTCGCCGTGCATGTTGGAGCTTTTTGTATCAACTCATGATGCAACCTCCGTCTCACACCTGTCACCACCACTCGCGCACGTGGAGCACAGGGCAGCTCTAGTGACACCTGGAAGTAGCACTTATTGGGCTGCTGCAGGTAGTGCACATCGCCGTGCATCTGGGGAGGATCACGAGCACAATCAAGCTCGCGGAGCGCAATCAAGCTCGCGGAGCGCAATCAAGCTCGCGGAGCGCAATCAAGCTCGCGGAGCACAATCAAGCTCGCGGAGCGCAATCAAGCTCGCGGAGCGCAAGGGAGCTCTAGAGAAACCTGGAAGTAGCACTTGTTGGGCTGCCGCAGGTAGTGCACATCGCCGTGCATCTGGCGCAGCAGCGAGCGGTACGAGACGAGCGCATGCGCCTGGTACGACGCCTCAGGTGAATCCTCAGGGCACGAGGCAAGGCCAAACATGTGCTGGATTATGGCGTCCTCAATCCCCGGCCCTGATTGGATAATCCTGCAGAGGCAAAGTCACCAGGGAAAAGGAAGGGGGTAGCGGAGGTGGAATAGAGAGGTGAGGCAGGGAGGATGCTGTTTTACACATAAGCTTGTGAGTTGCTGAATGTGCGATAACGAAAAGCAAAGGCAGATTGTGATTTGCGTTCCCCAGGGAAAGGAAAGGTGGAGGGGAAAAGGATGGGAAAGGTGGGAAGAAGGGAGGAAGGTGGGTGCAATCGTCGTCGGAGAAACGGTTCCCTCCTTCCCCACGCCATCCATTCCTCACCCCCCTCACCTCACCACTCCTCCTCACCCCTCTCCCCGCCCCATCACTCCCCCTCGCCCTTCTACTCACCGCAGCTCTATCTCCACGGCCAGCATGCGGCTGGGGCTGGGCGCTAGCTGCAGCACCAGACCCCGCATCTCTGAATCACACATCATCCATCTCCTCCTGCATCACCCACCCCTCCTCACCCTCGCCCCATCGCTCCCAACCACTCATCCCACACCCCTCACCGCACACCACCACTCACCGCAGCTCTATCTCCACTGCCAGCATGCGGCTGGGGCTGGGCGCCAGCTGCAGACGAACGGTGCCGCCCGACGGGGTGGACTTGACGGCCGCTACAGTGATGCCGCCCAGCACCTGCTGCAGCAGCAGCTGGTTGCCCACGAGGCGCGTGGAGGCGACATCTGGCAGCGCGTCATAGGTCAGGTCGATGGAGCGGCGAATGGCGTGCTGCATGGCTTGGCAGACGGCTGTGTTGATGAGTGATGCCATTGTGAAAGGCGCTGAGGGCGTGAATGGCAGCATGCTGGGAAAAGGGTGTAGGGGAGTGGAAGGGACAGGCAGGGTAGCAGGGGGAGTGGAGGGGACAGGGAGTGAAGGTGAATGGTGTGCTGCATGGCCTGGCAGAGTGCTCCGTTGATGAGAGAGGCCATGGTGAAGGGCGCAGCAGAGGGGGTGAATGGTAGCATGCTGGTTGGAGGGAGAGAAGGGGGGGGCGTAGCAAAGACAGGTAGGGTAGGAAGAAGGGGGTTGAGAGAGGGTGGGGGGTTGCGAGAAGAGTTTTGAGCCGTGTCAAAACAAAACTGAGCAAACCTGCCTACCCACAACAACATCATTTCACTCCCACAGCATACCTGGGGTGTGAGAACACAGCATACCTGGGGTGTGAGAACACAGCCGCATCAGCCCCGCCTCTACGTAAAACGTGCAGACATACATCCATGCATTCCATTGCATGCATGCATGCGTGGATATATGCATACACAGCATACATACACACATCACCGCATACCTGGGGTGCGAGAACACAGCAGCATCAGCCCCACCACCGCCGCCCTCTCCGCCGCCCAGCGGATCCATCTGAGTGTGCAGCAGGCGCATCAGCTGCGCGTCGCACCTCGCCATCGCCTCCATAAACTGCCAAACCTTGCCGCCCGGGGCGGCGGCAGACGGGGCGGCGTGAGCGGAGGGCGAGAGCGGGGAGGCGTCGAGGAGGGAGCGGTGCAGCAGGGAGCGTGCATGCACCATGCCGTGCACTGCCCCTGCCATGGCCTGCCTCACGTAGGCGAGTTGCTTGGAATGCCGCTCGATTAACTGAGGGGTGGGTGGGTGAGAGGGGACGGTGGTGTGGGAGGGGGTGGTGGTGGTGGTGCGTGGAAGGAGCAAGGGAAGGAAATGTGGAATTTAAAGAGTGATTCAAGAGGAATTCATAAAGGGAGCGGTGCAGCAGGGAGCGTGCATGCACCATGCCGTGCACTGCTCCTGCCATGGCCTGCCGCACATACGCCAGCTGCTTGGAGTGTCGCTCAATTAGCTGGTGAATGGTGTCCGGGGGGAAGGGGGATAAGGGGGGATGGGATGGATATGGTGGTGTGTAAATGGAGCAAGAGAAGGAAACGGGAAACCAGAAGGTCAGACGGGGGCGGGCTTGTAGTGGTGCAGCAGGGAGCGTGCATGCACCATGCCATGCACTGCCCCTGCCATGGCCTGCCTCGCGTAGGCCAGCTGCTTGGAGTGTCGCTCGATCAACTGAGGGTGGTGCAAGGTGGGAGAGGAGGGGGAGGTTGGTGATGTGGGGTGGAGGGGGGATGGTGGGGCGTGGGAGGAAAGGGATGGTGGTGCGTGGAATCATGGGAACAATGGAAATAGGAACAGAAGACAGGCAGAAGAGGAGCAGAGGCTCAGCGCCTGCCCACCACACGCATAAATGCAAAATACTAAATCCGAGTCGCCCACCACACGCATAAATGCAAAATACTAAATCCGAGTCGCCTACCAAACGCATAAATGCAAAATACTAAATCCGAGTCGCCTATGAAATCTCTCAAAAGCGACTCAGCGCCTACCAAACGCATAAATGCAAATACTTCCCTCCACTCAGGCCCCACTCCCCCCCCCAACCCGCCAACTCGCCCCCCTCTCCCCCCACCCCTTCCTTCCGCTCAAGCCCTCTGCCGTTCTTCTTCCTCTCACACCCTCTGCCCTGTGCTGCACAGCCAGAGTCTGCATGGGTTTTGCCACATGCACACATGGACACATGCACACATGGACACATGGACACATGCACACATGGACACATGCACACATGGACACATGGACACATGCACACATGGACACATGCACACATGGACACACACCACACCACCTCCTTCCTCACAGTCACCACCCCTCTTCACCCCCGCTTCCCCCGACCCCCATTCAAGTTCCCCTTCCCGCTGTTATTCCACTCACCCCCTCTGCCTTTTGCTGCACGGCCAGCGCCTGCATGAGGTCAGGGCTTGCCACGTGCCCTGCATGAGGTCAGCGCATGATATCATCTCCACTCATCCCCCTTTACTCAATCCAGCCCCACCAATGGCCCTCCAGCATTCACAATCAACCCCCAACCCCCTCCAACTCCCTCCCTGTTGCTCCACTCACCCCCTCTGCCTTCTGCTGCACGGCCAGCGCCTGCATGAGCTCAGGGCTTGCCACGTGGAGGAATCCAAACGCCCCTGCTGCCCTCCCATCGCCGCCCAGCCGCTGCTGCACCGTCAGCAGCACCTCCACCATACGACCCTGGCACGGGGCGGGGTGGGAGGGAGAGAGCAGGGGAAGGGGTGGGAGAGAGAGAGCAGGGGAAGGGGTGGGAGGGAGAGAGCAGGGGAAGGGGTGGGAGGGGGCGAAGGAGGATAGCGAGTTGAAGAGAAGGGCACTGAAGCGAAACAGCTGTTGCACTGCCATTACCACCTCCACCAGACGACCCTGGCAGGGGGAGTGCACTGGGGGGAGTGGAGAAGGAAGACAAGAGGGGTGAAGGAAGACAAGAGGGGTGAAGGAAGACAAGAGGGGTGAAGGAACAAGCACACTCGACAAAACCGCTGCCGCGCTGGGAATTAGACATCATGAAGTTGCACCCTCCCTACCTTGCCGTTGCAGGGTGGGTGGGTGGGTGGGTGGGTGGGTGGGTGGGTGGGTGGGTGGGTGGGTGCGTCTTTTCCTCGCCACCAGTGTCCTGCCAAGCCATGGTGACGAGTGGGTGGGTGAGGAAACTTGGCTTTTCCACCCACCTCCCTACCCCTCCTCCCTACCCCACCTCCCTACCCCTCCTCCCTACCCCACCTCCCTACCCCTCCTCCCTACCCCTCCTCCCTACCCCTCCTCCCTACCCCTCCTCCCTACCCCACCTCCCTACCCCTCCTCCCTACCCCTCCTCCCTACCCCACCTCCCTACCCCTCTCCTCCCTACCCCACCTCCCTACCCCACCTCCCTACCCCTCCTCCCTACCCCTCCTCCCTACCCCTCCACCCTACCCCTGCTCCCTACCCCACCTCCCTTCCCCTCCTCCTCACCTTGGCATTGTGGAAGGCAAAGTGCGTCTTCTCCTCGCCACCAGCGTCCTGCCCTGCCATGGCCCGCGACAGCATGATGAGCAGCCGCGTGAGCGAATCATCGTTCGCCAGCTGGCACATGCGGCCAAAGATGATTCCTGGGAGCATGCAGCCCAGCACCTGAGGGGATGGATGGGGGAGGGCGGGTAGAGGGTGGATGAGAGACGGGGGATGGGAAAGGGTGAGTGGGAGAGGGGGGATGGGAAAGGGTGAGTGGGAGAGGGGGGATGGGGAAGGGGAGAACGGCCATGCGACCAAATCGATCCCTGGGAGCATGCAGTCTAACACCTGAGCGGTTTTGGAGGGTGGATGGGAGAGGGTGGGTGGGAGAGGGTGGGTGGGAGAGGGTGGGTGGGAGAGGGAGGGTGGGTGGGAGAGGGAGGGTGGGTGGGAGAGGGTGGGTGGGAGAGGGAGGGTGGGTGGGAGAGGGTGGGTGAAAGGGGAAGATGATGGATGGGGAGAAGTGGGGATGCGAAGCGGGGGAAGGGAGATCGGCACATGCAGTCAAATTCAATTCCTGGGAGCACGCAGCCCAACACCTGTGCGGATGGAGGGGAGGGAGTGGTGGGAGAATTTGAGTGGGAGGCGAGAGAGTGGAGGAGGGAGGGTAGAGGGTGGGTGGGGAGAGGGTGGGAAGGGAGAGGGTGGATGGGAGAGGGTGGATGGGATGGGAGGGAACAGAAGAGCGGGCAGGAGTAAGGAAGGGAAAGGAAGGAAGGGAAGTAAAGGAAAAAGGGAGGACAGGGGAGGGGGGAGTGAAAGCAAGAGGACGGAGAGGGACGCGTAGAAAAAGGGTGAGAAAGGACATGAAGGAAAGGACATGGACGAGAAAGAGAATTATGGGGCGGGTGGGGGACAATCTGGGCGCGGAGACGTGGACGGGGAGAGGACAAGAGCACACCTGGGAGCGCTTGAGGCCCGTGATGCTCTCCATGGCTGGGTTCCACTCGGTGCAGAAGCCAGATGCTGGGGTTGGGATGGGTTCAGAAGGGCATGGGCGGTAGAGCGGAACGTGAGCGGGTGGGCAGAATTGAGCTTGGGGATAGATGGCAGCAGAAGCGTGAGCAAATTACGGCCGGCACGACTCACCACGGGCGGCAGAGCTGGGTGGCAAAAAAGACTCATTGGCGGTGGCAACGATGGGCGTCACTGCGTAAGAAATGGGCGGCGAAACGACTCACCGTTGGTGGCAAAGATGGGCGGCATGAGGGAGTTGTGTGTGTTGATGATGGTGGTGAAGTCGCCCTGTATGCGCACGAATCGCGTCCTGGCAGCTGTCTCCTCCGTCACGTCCTGCCCCACGAAGCACACCCCCACGATGCTCTTCTCCGAGTCGCGGCTCACAAACGTGTTCACCTGCAGAGGAATAGAGGGAGTATGATGGGATCCAGTGGGGTAGGGTGGGGTGGGGTGGGGTGGGGTTGCGTGGGTTGGAGTGCGGTAGAATGGGGTGCCGTGGGCTGGCGGTTTGAAGAGGCATTACATCCTGCACGATGGATGGCGTGGGGAGTGAAATTTATAGACTGGATACATATAACAGAGCCGCATGAATCGGAACAATAAATGACGACTTAAAAAAAAACAAAAAAACACGACTAAGTGCAGTGCACTCACGTGCAGGGTGGCGTAGGGCATAGGAGGCCCCTTGCCCCTTCCTTGCCCCTTGCCCCTTGCCCCTTGCCCCTTGCCCCTTGCCCCTTGCCCCTTGCCCCTTGCCCTTGGCCGTTACCCGTTGCCCCTTGCCCTTGGCCCTTGGGAACAGTTGCTGCCACTGAACGACATGCCACCCCATTGGACTCACGTGCAGGATGGCGTAGGGCGTGGGAGGCCCCTTGCCCTGGGGAACTGACCCCCACCGCTTGAGCTTCAGCTCCAGCTGCTGCTGCTCCTCGCCTGCACATGCATGTGCATGTGCATGTGCATGTGCATGTGAAAGTGAGAGTGGATATTGATGGGTGATATACTTAGCGGGTTTGTTGTCCATCTGGAATTCTTCCTCATTAAATTAGACTCTCTCGCCTGAAATCAACAAGTTCACCATTTGCACGAGCACCAAAGACGATAAGGGAAGGGAGGAGGGCAGGGGAAGGGGTGGGGAACGTGTTTTGAGTCGACTCAAACCACGGGCAGGGGAAGGGGTGGGAGTGGGTCAGAGCATGCAGGAGGGTCAATGGACAAGAAAAGGATTTTGGGTTAGAAGGGAAGGTTGGGGGTGGGGGGCAAGGACGGGGGAAAGAGAGGGTGGGGAAGAAGGGGGGGGAGGATAACCAGCTAATCACTCATCTTCTTTGAGAATTCTTAAAAAAAAAACATATTCGCTGCTCTCACCTGCCAGAGCGAGTTCAAACGCGGTCCTCGTCTTGTCCACACAGGACGGGTCGAGACAGGTGTCGAGCAGCGATTGGCCGATGGCGTCGGAGAAGGAGAGCCCTGTGATGGCCGCCACCTTGCCGTTCCACCCCGTGATGTTGCCCTCCAGATCAACGGCCAGGATCGGCGCAGACGCCGTCTCGATCAGACGGACCAGCTCGTCCGCTGCCACTGCCAGCTCGCTGTTGTTCTGCGGAGGGAAAATGGTAAACGGGGGTTGGAAAGGGTGGAGAGGGGTGGAAAGAGGTGGAATGGGGTGGGATGGCGTGAAGGGGGGTGAAACCAACCACCTCCAGGAACGCCTTGAACTACACGCCAGGGTTGCTGCTTCTGCTGCTGCCTCTACTCTACTGGAGCTGCCCTCTACCAGTTTCTACTGGTCTCCAAAGGTCTTCTGAAGCGGTTACAGAACTGGGACAGTCCCCGCTGCCTGCTCACCTGTTTGCCCATGGAGATGAGCCGTCCCATGCTCTCCTTCCGCCTGACCGACTTGCACAGCAAATCCTGCAGCCTGTCAACGGCGTCCACCTTCACGTCGGCCCACGGCAGCGCGCGGTGCCGCACCAGGGAGTTTTTGAGAATTCTCAAAAACTCCCTTTCACGTCGGGCCACGGCAGCGCGCGGTGCCGCGCCACCTCCAGGAACGCCTTGAAGGACGCCCGCGGGTGCTGTTGCCTCTGCCGCCCATACTGGTTTCTACCAGCGCCTTTTCAGGCGGCTCATGGCTCAACCAGCAGCACTCTCTTGTGTGTCTCACCTGTTTGCCCATGGAGATGAGTCGCCCCATGCTCTCCTTGCGCCGCACGGACTTGCACAGCAGGTCCTGCAGGCTGTGAACAGCATCCACCTCCACATCGGCCCACGGCAGCGCGCGGTGCTTCACCACCTCCAGGAACGCCTTGAAGGACGCGCGGGGGTGGCGCTTCTTTGCATCGTCCACATCCAGGGGGTTGTGCCGCGCGCCGCTCCACTTGATCGACTTCTCCACGTGCGACCGGAACCAGAACAGGTAATCCCCCGTGATGCCGCTCACACTGCTCACACCACCGCCGCCGCCGCTCAAGCCGCTGAAGCTGCTCCCGCCGCCAGCGCCGCTGGTGCTGCTGCCGGATGGTGAAGGCGGGACAGGCGACGCAGTCTCCCTCCCCTGCTGCTGCTGCCGCTCCTGCTGCTGCTGCTGCTGCTCGTCGGCAGGAGAGAAGCACACGACAACCATCCCACACACGTCCACTCCAAGCGTATCCGCGTACGGGAACCCAGCACCCTTGAGGCTATCCGTGCTCAGCCCACTGGACCCGCAGTGTTCCCTCTGCAGCCACCGCACAAGCTCCCCGATCATGTCTTCTGAAGGGCAGACGCCGAGGCGGGAGAGCTCCCCGCGGAAGAGCACGGCGGCGCCGTCGCAGGGGAGGAGGTCCATGATGTTGGGCGCGGAGGACACGAGCGCTCGGATGGGGTTGTCCGTGAGCAGCGTGTCGCACAATAAAGATTGGATTTGGAGAATCTGCTTCTCGTGCAGCTGGGCGGCGATCTCGAGCTCCACTGAGAGCTGCAGGCCGAACGCCTGGGAGGAAGTGGGGGCAGGGTGGAAAGGGGAAGGGGTTTTGGGAGGGAAGATGGAAAGGAGGAGACGGTTGAGGGACCTTGCCTTGGAAGGCATCTCCTCCAGCAACGCAGGGGAGGAGGTCCATGATGTTGGGCGCGGAGGACATGAGCGCACGGACGGGATTGTCCGTGAGTAGGGTGTTGCACAATAAAGATTGAATTTGGAGAATCTGTTTCTCGTGGAGCTGGGCAGCGATCTCCAACTCCACTGACAGCTGGAGGCCAAATGTTGGGGGAAAGGGGGAGAGGAGGGAGGAATTAATAGGAGAGAGTTGAGAGAGGGGGAGGTAGGGATGATGGGGAACATTTGAGGCGCCTTGGAAGTCATACCCCCTCTGCCCGTCGCAGGGGAGGAGGTCCATGATGTTGGGGGCGGAGGACACGAGCGCTCGGATGGGGTTGTCCGTGAGCAGCGTGTCGCACAGGAGGGACTGGATCTGGAGAATCCGTTTCTCGTGGAGTTGGGTGGCTATCTCGAGCTCCCCTGAGAGTTGCAGGCCGAACGCCTGGAAGGAGAGGCGAGAGCAGGGGGAGGGAGTGGAGGAAGAGGGAGAAAAAAGGGGCTATTGAGGCCCCTTGGGAAGTCGTGTCCTTGGTCGCAGGGGAGGAGGTCCCCTTGATGTTGGGAAAGGAGGAGACGAGCGAGCGCGCGGACAGGGTTGTCGGTGAGGAGAGTATCACAGAGGAGAAACTGGATTTGAAGGATCTGCTTCTCGTGCAGCTGGGCGGCTATCTTGAGCTCCACTGACAGCTGGAGCCCGAATGCCTGGAAAGGGGAGGTGGGAAGGGTTTGGGAGGGGGAAATGGATGGGGAGGGGCGATTGAAGCTCCTTAGAAGTCATCATGGGGGACAGGGTGAGAGGACAACACAACATACTCATCATCCTACAACCTCACCCTCCCACCCTGCCCTCCCCCTGCCCTCCCCCTGCCCTCCCACCCTGCCCTCCCCCTGCCCTCCCACCCTGCCCTCCCCCTGCCCTCCCCCTGCCCTCCCCCTCACCTGCATGAGGAAATCACAAGCGGAGCGGACGGGGAAGGGCACGACTCGGGGAGACATGTGATGGCACACCACCAGACCCCACAGCCGCACGCCCCCTCCCCCCCCCCCTTCCCCCTCCGCTTCCCCCTCCCCCTGACACGCTCCCCCCATCGTCTGACCGCATGTCCCACCCATCTCCCCCTCCCCCTCCTCCCCCTCCCCCTCCCCCTCCCCCCGCGTCCCCCCCAGCACCACCCCCCAAGCCCGTTCCAGAAGAAGCACTGGTGCTCCGGGCAAGAACAACACCCTGCTTCCCCTGCTGCTGCTGATCCAACCTTCCCGTCCCTCCCCCCCCTTCCCCTCCCCCTCCGCCCTGCTGGCTCCCCCCCGACTGACTCCTTGCAAACTGCGCCCCGCCAGCCGGCCCCCCCCCATGCCCGCCCCCGCCCCCTCCTCCCCCCGGCTGCCCCAGCGCGTTCGCCCCGCGCGTGGGCACCATAATAGCAAGCACATAAGATGCTCTGATCCCCATATTGCACATATACTGCACGTGGCACGGGTCCACCGCTCTCAGAGTCGACCCCCCGAGCTTGAGCGGGTGCGGGGCGGAGAGGGGGTGCTGGCGGAGGGGTATAGAGGGGGACTGGCAGTCGGCAACCATGCGCGAACGCGTCTGGAAGAAGAGCAGACGCGTGGCCTGTGGTACGTCCGTTGCTGGGAAGTGAGAGCCTAGGATCGGCTCCATGCCTCCCTCCTCTTCTTCCCCCTCCTCTTCTTCCCCGTCCGCCCCCTTCCCTTGCTCCCCTTCCTCCCCCTGCTGCTCCCTCTCTTTCCCCGCCTCGCTCCCCTCCCTCCCTTCTTCCGCCCCTCCCTTCTTCCCCACTCCCGCTCCCCCTCCCCCTCCCCCTCCCCCTCCCCCTCCCTTCCGCCGCCTTTTCCGCATGTCCTCCGCCACAACCTCCCCATGGCCGTCCTCATGGAATTTATAAGCCACAACGCGGTCATACCCAGTCAACTCTCTCACCTCCTCCACCACCACCTGGCACAGCGCGCTGATATTCCCTGGCGCCACCTTCTGCAGCCGCTTCACTGCCGAGAGGGCCAGCCGGTGGGTGAGCGGCGCGCCTGCCCCGTCTACTGCCGGGTCGAGCGGTGTAATGGGCTCTAGGTCTATGCTTATGATGTTGTTTCCTGGGTTGGTGCTGGTGGTAGCAGCGGTGAGGTTAGGGGCAGTGGTGGTGGTAGCAGCAGTGGGTATGGTGGTTGGAAGAGTGGCGACAGGAGAGGTAGGGGTGGCGGTACCAGGGAGTGTGAGGATGCTGCTGCTGGTAAGGCTGGTAGGGATGATGCTGCTCATGCTGCTGGTGCTGGTGCCACTGGTGCTGGAGTTGGCGGTGTCAGAATCGTCAGCAGCAGCGGAGGTGCGGTGGAGAACAGCGTAGAAGGGGCGGTTGGAGTGGCGGCACTGCAGCAGCACAGGGTTCATGGACGCGATGTCGTCTGCTGCCACTGCTTTTTCAAGGGCCTCCACGCTTTCTGGGGTGAACAGGCTCCGGACGTCCATTCCCAAGGCTGCAGGGGAGGCAGGAGGGGAGGGGATTGGGGAGGGAGCAGGGGCCGGGGCAAGGGGATGGAGTAAAAGGGGCGGTAAGAAAGGCGGCACTGCAGCAGCACAGGGTTCATGGACGCGATGTCGTCTGCTGCCACTGCTTTTTCAAGGGCGTCCACGCTTTCTGGGGTGAACAGGCTCCGGACATCCATCCATCCCCAAGGCTGTGTGGGGGGGAGAAGAGAAGGATGATGGGGGGACGGGGAGGATGGGGAGGATGCGGAGGATGGGGAAGGGGGAAGGGAGCGGGGATAGAGGACGCGGTTGGAGCGGAGGCACTGCAGCAGCACAGGGTGCATGGACGCTATATGCCTTGCCATGCCATGTGCTGCTGCCACTGCTTTCGGACAAGCCTCTATGTGCTTTTCCTAAGAAAACCAGCTCTCCGCATGTCCATTCCTTCCCAAGGCCGTGAGGCAGAGAGTGCGGGAAGGAAGATGGGAATGGGGCGAGGGAGTGGAGGGTGGGGAGAGCACCACTCCTGACACCAGTCAACCGTTGCACTCACCTATTTTCGTCTGTGGAAGCGGAGCAACAGCATCCTCCGCCTCTTCCGCCAGAGCACCAGCGCGCGCCCCTTCCCCCTGCGCCCTAGCTGCCGCCTCCTCCAGTCCGCGCCCCACAAAAATGGCGCTGTCACTCACACTTGCTCCGCCTCCGGCTCCCCCTCCGCCTGCGCCCCCGTCTCTCTCCGCGCCCATTCCGCTCGCTCCTCCCTCCTCCCCCGCGCGCGCGTCACTGCTTCCCCTCCCCGCCGCGCCAGCAGCAGCAGGCGCGGAGGACATGGCGGCGGCGGCATCCGCGGAGTGGCGGCGGGATCTCCTTGCGCCCTTGGCGCGGCCGCGGCTGTTGGAGCGGAAGATCGCCCAGCGAATGCGCTCCAGAAAGTTCAGCGCTGGAAGGATTTAGGGAGCGGTTTGAAACGGTGGAGAGGGTAGGGAAGGTGAATTGGAGGCGGGAAGGAGAGAGGGGAAGAGGAATGGGGGGAAGGGGGAAGGGGCACAGTGATGGATGGGAGAGGCGGGGGGCGGGGTGGCAGGGGGAAACAGGGCGGAGAAGAGGGAGGTGGAGGAGGGATGACGGACGTGCGGCAGAGAGATAACGTAATGCCGGACGTGGGTTGACAGCGGTGATGGCGGAAACAATGGAACGGTGAGCAGAGCTGATTCATCGCAACGCCGCTGTCCTCAGAAGGAGGGGATGAGGGGGAATGCACGGGGAACGGGATGATGAGAGGGGGTTGAGGGGAGGGGTGGCAGGAAGATGGGGGAGGGGAAGGGGGAAGGGACAAGAGCGAGGTAAAGGGGTGAAGAAAGGGGGGGGGTGGGGGGGGGGGGGGGAGGGGGGGGGGGGGGGGGGGAGAGGGGGAAAGGGGGGGGGAGAGAGGGAAAGGGGGGGGGAGAGAGGAAACGAGGGGGCAATTACGTTTGAGAAGTGTGCTCCCTTCGGATGCCATTTTCACCAGTCGTCTTCTCTCGCCGCCGCCCGCCGCCGCTCCGCCCGCCGCAGCTCCCGCCTCGCCTCTCCGGTTTGCTTCCGCCGTCGGCGCCAACTCCCCCCCTTCTGGAATCGTTTGCGACCGTCCGATCGTCGCCGCCGCCGCAGATCCCGCTCCGCCCATTCCCGCAGCTCCTGCATCCGCGGATCCCGCGCCCGCGCCGGCCGCCGCTGGCGGCGCCGCCGCCTGCATCGACGGCGACTCATTCAGGATCATCTGGCCGGCGTTTTCGCTGAAAGCGACGAGATCGAAGCTTTTTCCGTCGCCGGGAATCGCGAGCAGGCAGCCGAAGTTCTGCACGAGGCCGGGCCGTTGGATGCGCTGTAGGTACGTCGAGACCGCGGCGCGACTCGCGGAGGGCGGCGCGCCGCCCGCGGCGTGCACGAGGTCGACGGAGCGCCGCGCGCTGCGGAACGTGACGCCGCCAGTGGAGGCCCAGAGGCGCGCAGCGGCCAGAAACGACGTGTCCATGTCCGTCGCCGATTTTTTAGGCGCGTCGAAAATGTCGGCCGCCGCCATTTCTGCGACGACGGTGCTGTGCGCAACGAGTGGCTTGAGTGGTCAGAAAGCTAAAACGCCTTAAACTGAGTGGCGTCGGGTGGTGTCTTGTTGTGACCGTACTAAGTGTAGTGGCGGAATTTAGAAGGCACGTGAGGAATGTCGGCTCGTGCGGAACGTAGGAGGATCGTGCTAGGAAAACTCTAGGAAGCGTACGCTTAGCTCCCCACGATCAATCAGGTAGTACTAGAAAATACCGGAATCAGAGCGAGGAGAGGAGCTTCCGTTGAACGTAACGATTACGCGTTCTGATTCGATGTAGCGCCAAGGCACGGAATGACGTCACGGAAGATGGGCTTGAATGTCCTTTGAGAACTCGGAGTCTTGATTATAGATACCCCTCACAACCCGTTCGAGTAATCTCTGATTGGCGGATAGTAATTGACGGGATGCGGCCGGTTGAACTTTGGCAATGGCGAAGGCGCTGATTGACATGCGCAAAAAGACTCACACACTAAGACGCGTGTGCTTTTTTTTATCTAAAAAAAACGTCTGCTGATAGCCATAGAGCTGATAGAAATGCGCAAAGAGACTCACTCACTAAGACGCGTGAAAAACGCCTGCCACCTAAAGACAGGCAGGCAGCGCGATCAGCATGTGAGCCGCTGATAGGGTGGGTACTACCGCCAGGACGATGGCATGCGATCGCTTTTCGCTGCAAACCAAGGTGCTATGGGTGGAATAAGCTAATCAGAATGCACCTAGACGGAATGCGTGAGTTATCGTACAATAACTATGGATAGCGAGGGTGGTGGGGACAGCCACCATTTTCGATGACCCTGTCTGCCGTACATACAGTAAACAATAGGTGGAGCATAGGAGGATGGAAAATGTCGCGATTCGAGGAGCCGATTCTATCTATGCTCAGATGACGATGACCCACTATCTGGAAGGGCAGGGAGGGAGGGAGGATGAGAGAGGGAGAAGGGTGTCTGTGGGAGTCTGGTTTGGCTGTTCTGGCTGGGAGCAGGGCCGTCGCTTGCAGGGCGTCTGCCCTGCTGGACCTTGAATTCCAGGGCTGGGTCGCCCTTGAAAACTGAAATTGATGGGCTGGAAATATTCTAGCCCTGATTCTTTACAGGGCTTATTTTGGGCTCAGGCCTGGTGAGGGGTAGATTTTAGGCGAGCCCTGGAACAAAATCTTTCTAGACCCCCCTCCCCCTCCCCTCCCCCCCCCCAACACTCCTCCCTCTCCTCTCCCCTTCTCCCCTTCGTTTCTAACCTGATTGCATCCAACAAGGCAAATTTCGAGTTGCTTGGTTGGGCAAAATTTTTCAACTCAACCTAGAACTTGTGCTTAAACCAATCACAGCTCGCGCTCTGTGGAGTGGGTAGACGGTTAAGGTTGTGTAGAAGTGCACAAGAACTACCCTGAAGGTTGGGTAGTAGAAGTGCACACGATCATCGGTTCTGCAATGGCTAGGAAGCCTGCAAAGCGTGCGTAGTGCTATGACGCTAACTATTTCTCTTTATGTCGTGTTTGCTTGCTTGTGGTTCATCTCAAGCGTAGTTGTAAGCTTGGTAGTTGAAATGAGGCTCCCGATTTTTTCGCGCCAAACCTGATTCAAGGGAGGAAAACTTTCCTGCCCTGAAGCCTCAAGGGCCGAGATTCACCCCAACCCTGCTAAATACAGGGTCATACATGCCGGGCCCCCTGATTTGTCCGGGGGGCCCAAAACGAAACGACAGGCCTGGCTGGGAGAGCTGGATGGATTGAAAAACGACATTCAAGATTTGGGCCCACCAGATACATGCTAGACGACAGAAGCTCCTTCCACAGCTTCGATCCGTAAGACGACATCTTCTGCCTCCCCACATCGTTCATCGGCAGGCCCATGCATCAGATGGACGGTTGGGATGATTGAATGTCAGCAGCCGCTGTGCACTGCCCATTTGCCATACCTCGTTGCCCACTGCCTATTTCCTCGTTGCCCAAAACACAAGCTGTTTCGTGGAGGCAACACCCGACGAACCCCTTTTCAACGGCTTATGGCTAATGCTCGAGCGAAATCCCCACCACACCAAGCTAGAGTTCCTTGCTCGGTGGTGTCGCGTGCTGGCGTATTTCCTTTCAAATCTGTCAATAAAGAGAGCACTTATTCGAAGCTTCTGCGATGAGGTGAAGCAATCCCGAGTTCCGTTTCCACGTCAGGAGTGTCAAGATACACGTCAGCGAGGTTCTCCGTAGCTGAGATGGCGAATCATGGCTGGACATTGTGATTGTGGGGAGATTTGCGGCACGAGCAGCGCGTTTGAGAACATCAGCCACATGAATGTTCTGTTTTTCGTGAGATCGTGTAAACGAGTGTTTTAAAACATTTCAGAGGAAATGGCATATATACTGCATGCTTGTTACGGGTGCAATGGACCGAAGTAGCGAGGATTGCACTAAGGTGTCAAACGAGTAAAAAATGTGAGCGAAGGCATGAGCGAACATTTATACGCGAAACCTGCAAACGGTAACGCGGTGCGTGCGAGCTAGCTAATGCTATGCTGGAATCGAGGCTCGGGCTAGTCCCGAAGCGTAGGCCGACACGGCCGGGCCAGCAATGCAAGGTTTGGCAAAACAGTGCGCGCGAAGTTGGCGAAGTCCCGTTAGCAGTAACGGGCGAACAACAGCTTTTGCTGTACGCGATGTAGACGGGCTCCGTAAGGAATGCCGAGAAAATTCCTTACACTACCCCCCCCCCCCTCAAGAAGCCCCCTCCGCTACGCGAGTGCGTGTATATCGCGGAATCCCCGGCTCCTCAGGTACACTTGCAGGGCAGGGTGATTTTCAATGTTGGCCAGGGGCACCCAGCTATCTTCAGTTGGCGTGCGGTCCTTCCAGCGAACGAGGAATTCAATCCTCCTGATTCCCGTGGGGTGTCGAATCCGATGGCTCATGATTTTTTCGGGCTCGATGATCGGCTCCGATGCAGGGCGAGTCACGGATGGCGGACGGTGGCGAGGCAGTTGGCTTGTGGTTGGGATGTATGGGCGAAGCAAGCTGACGTGGAACGAAGGGCTGATGTACCAGTCGGTCGGTAACAGTAGGTGCGCGGTTACTGGCGTGATCATGTGGCTGATTTGGAATGGGCCACAGTAGCGCGGTCGAAGTTTTGGTACATCGGGCAGTCGCAGATTTTACGTGTCGAGTAGTACGTAATCCCCTGACTGGTATGTGACTGGGCGGCGGTGGCGGTCGGCGTTGCGCTTAGCGATGACGTTTGCTTTTTTAATTGCTTCTGCGGCTCTGGAGCGGGCAGCTTGCAGAATTTCGGCGAATTGCTGTGCACGTGGTGAAGGGTTGTCCGGACTCGGCGTCATGGGCACTGTAGGGTTTTGCCCGTAGTTCAGGTAGAAGGGGGACTGCTGCGTCGTCGCTGACGTGGCATTATTGTACGCGAACTCGATCAGCGGCAGCTGCTGCTCCCAGGTCGTAGGGTCGTCGCACGTGGCACGAATCAACTGCTCCATCGTCTGATTCGTCCGCTCCGTTTGACCGTCGGTCTCGGGGTGGTACGACGAACTGAACTGTAGCCTGGTCCCGAACTGCTCCCAGAGATTTTTCCAGAAGTTGCTGGTAAACTTCGTGTCCCTGTCGTTGATAATTGCTGGTGGTATCCCGTGCAGGCGAACAGCGGCTGCGATGAACAGACGCGCGGTCTCCTCGGCTGAGCTCGACTTTTTGCACGCAGCGAAGTGTGCCATCTTCGTCAACCTGTCAACGACGACCATCACCGCGTCGTTACCCTCAGGGTTCGAAGGTAACCCAATGACGAAGTCCATGGTAACCTGCTGCCAGGCGCGCTCAGGCGGTGGTATCGGCTGCAATTGACCCGCCTTCCGTTTCCTCGAGCTTTTCAACACCTGACACGTGGGGCACGAGCCCACGTGCTGCTGTACGTCGGTCAACAGCCCCGGCCAGTAGTAATACCGCTGCAGTTGCTGTCGCGTTTTTTCTACCCCAAAATGTCCCGAGGTAATTCCGTCATGTGCCTCCCGCAGTAGCAGCTCCCTCAGTAGTGAGTACGCGGGTACCCAGATGCGGTTGGTGCCTGATTTTACGTAATAAACTCCTTTAGCTTCTGCCAGTTGCTGTGAGTTTCCAGTCGTGAAAAATGGGTCGGTGCGGTATCCGTGGGTGAATAGTCCTGTTAAAAGCGGGTTGGTCTGGGCGAGTAGGATGGCGTGGAGTTGGGCGGTAGGGCGGGTGAGTGCGTCGGCGATGTTGGATGCGCCTTTCTTGTACGTAACCGTGTAGTGGAAGTTGGACTCGAGGTAGTCCAACCAGCGAATCTGTCGTGGATTGAGATTCGGTTGGGCGCGTAAGTACTGTAGTGATCGGTGGTCTGTCCGTACTGTCACGTCGGCGCCAGTCAGGTAACACCGCCAAACCTTGAACGCGTGCACGATCGCCAACATTTCGCGGTCGTGTATCGGGTAGTTGCGTTCGGGCGGGTGCAGCTTGCGGGACTCGTACGCGATTGGCTGGAGGCCGTTCCCGAAATCCTGCAACAGTACTGCTCCCACAGCGATGTCACTTGCGTCAGTGACGAGCTCGAACGGACGGCGTGGATCGGCGATGTGAAGCACGGGCGGTGAGCACAAAATGTTCTTGAGGGCCGAGAAGGCAGCTTGCTCTTTCTCCCCCCACGTGTACTCAACCCCCTTCC